AAGCAGCTAAATCTGCCCGTAAGGCGGCTCTGATGCGCGCCCATCCACGGCCGGTCATTGACCCTTGTGTGGAGTATGGCTTCCGCCCTGCGGATCGCGCTGTGAAAGCGAAGAACGCGGTAGCTCAACCGTTACGCCTCCACATTATCGGGCCCCCGGCCATTACGGAAGATGAGCTTGTGGAACGGAAAGCTCTCCGAGCTCGTTTCTTGGTTCCACAAGAATTTCCGTTGGAAGCTTAACGCGTGCTCAACGAGGTGGATCACGTGTGCCCGCAATGCAGACAATACCTGTAGTGCTTGCCTCTGGCAAAAGCACATCAGATCACGAAGCGCTCTTTGAGCGATGGGTTCAACGGCACCGCAAACTTTCCTCGCTGCATAACCTGCAGTTGAGCTACAAGGAAGTCGACGTGCGTGTGAAGCAACACCTCCGATCTGACTTTGCCAAACTCAAAGCACGCCATCGACTCCCTTCAGATTGTCGCCTTGCAACGTATGGTTCAACCCCTAACGTTCTCGCGAGCTCTGTGTCTGTGACCGCAAGAGCTCCGGATCACCGCTTGAGCTCAGCTCATGGCCCTTCAACTTCTCTGGCTGTTGCAGGGAAGCGCGGGGCGTCCGGATCTTTCTGATCAAAAGCGTCCACGGCGACTGGGCAATCTTGCCGATCTGGCGTCTCAAACTTCCGGAGTTGGGATACTTCACCAAAATATTGGGTCTGACCCTGGTGACGACGTCGTCTCACACGACGTTCCACGTGATAGTGGACGTCAGCGTTCTCATCGAGAAGAGTCGGTGGCGGGCGGTGACGACCAGGTCAACCGCCGTCTGGTGACTCGCGATGCTCTTCGACCCCTTGAGGATGCGATCCTTCGTGATCGGAGCCCCACTGAGCGTCATTCAGAAGGAGCATATCGTTTTGCGGACGCTCTTGATGATTTGAAGCGCGTCGTGCACCGGCTGCCTCGCCTTGAGGACTACCGCGCTCTGTCAGAGCGACTCCTAACCATGGAGCAGGCGAATGCGTCGCTGCCGGCAACGGTGGGGCGCTTGGCTCCATTGGAGATGGAGGTTGTTGCACCCTGTGCTCAGAACCAGTTGCTGGTTCAGTTTCTGGGTGG